TCCTAAACAAATCACCAGTGCCCTGACATCAAGATGGTAACTCGGGAGTACCTCGTATTGTTTATACCACATTTCCTGATCTCACACTGCGTATTAACTGCGGAACAGTTCCGTATTATAAAGTCTATGTCTTTCTGGTATACATTCTGTACATCTGCTCTTCACAGTTCAGGTAGTTCTCGAGACTGTGGTGCAGAGGGATGTAAACGCACAGTATTTCGAAAACGAACATTTTGCTTGTTGTGACTTCAAATTCTCAAGGCGGCGAATAAAGATGGCTATTTTCTGGGTTCTTATGCTGTGTAATCCAGCAGAGTTTTGCTCATGTTTTAGAGGTGCTTGCTGCTTCTATCATCGCCCTAATAATGGAAGCAGAAGGCAACTCTGAAACTTTAGTAACTTCTACGAGACAACACGTACGGATTAAGAACCCAACCAAACTGGTCTTTATTTGCATTTGTAGGATTGTCAGATAATTCTGGTTTTACAAACTTAATTATCACAATACACAAATTAAGATTTATTTCTGCAAATTTAATGAAATATTCACCACATCAGAACAAAGTTTGAAATAAAATTTAGTCTTCAAAAAATCTATGTTATATGTTAGATAGATTTATTTTTCTGGGACAGACGTTTTTAAAGTTACCGATAAATTTAGATTTGAAATTCGTTTAGGGAATATAATTAGAAATACATTGAGCCCATACGAAAAAATGCTCGAAAATTTTTAATGTACACCTACAATACGGAATGCTAGAGATATTTAATTTCAGCCGCTGTGGATATGAAACATGTAGACAGGCGAATTTACAGACAATGCTTCCCAATTAAACTTCCATTTGTGTAAATTGTATACAAATAACGAATGTAAATTTGCGATTTATCAACGTATCATATATACTACTAGCTTAATCTACCTTTAAAGATTGAGAAAATTTTTCAAAACTTTCAAGTTATGGGATATTTATAATAGGAGCCCTTGGTGTTAACTAGCAACCAAAGCGCTGAGCAGGAAGTGAGTCCGTAATCGAAATTATCACACCCAGAACGTATGCAAAGTAATTCATTTCACTGATTCATCCTTAAAATTATCTATTGTAATAAACCATATTTCCACGAGACAATTAAATACGGCTTTAATCATGGTCCAAGCCTTCATCCTTCATGAGCGAATCGAATGTAACAATTGAAGAAAAGCGAGAAGAATTACTGTGATCTCTTTGTACCAGCAGCTTATATTCTCCTGCTGTAAGTTACGTCAGAGAAGTGAATGAAAGTGTACATTGCACAGAATATCATGCTAAATTAACTGTAGCGGAATTTGAATACTTTGATGAGTATAAAAGGAGACAAACTCGACTGGAGCAGCAGTTTCAGTACGTCAATTGTTCAATCACCAACTATCACTTGATCACCTTTGCAAGCCATAATACATGGCTAGAACACAGGTAACATTCACAGTGGAAAGAATTGTATGAAACTTGTGTGCGAATGATTAGGAAAGAACATAGTTTGATGTTTTGGATTTTGTCTATAGTTTAATTTATTAAATTATAAAATTACAGCGTTTCGAAAGCCGGATTCTACTTTCGTCATTGGATAAGGGGGCGGAGTAGGTGATACATAAAACCTATCTGCTGGAATTCATTTTTTACCTGATCATAAAAGAAGATTGTACAATTTAGATTATGGATCAATAAAAAAACAGTTTTACTCATTATGGCTCACCATCGTCAGAAGCCTTCAAAACTTCGACTATGGATTGAAGGTGTTTTAGAGTAGGATGCTGAAGAGGCGGTGAAAACAACAAAGTAACAAAACTGAAATAACAGAAGGATGGACAGAATTGCATAATAATGACATTTTCATAATTTGTACGCACCACTAAATATTATAAGGTCTATCAAATCAACGAGGAAGAGATGGGTGTATATAAACACGTATGGGAGAGGTAAAAATGCATAATTAGTTTAATTGGGAAACCTGACGGTAAGAGTACACTTGGGAGAAATAGTCATTGATCCGAGAGGGTAAATAAATATGATATGACGACGTGGACTTCAATAATGTGACTCGGAACAGACAGCAGTGGCGGCCCTTTACAAACTTTTTTTAAAAAAAGTTTTGTTTCATAAAATGCAGGATATTCTTTGACCGGCTGAGCGACTATTAGTTTCTGACGAATGACTCTATTGCTGGTAACGATATCGCACGTTCTGTCCAGGTAATGGTTCCCAAATTGAGTGATGATGTCCTATTTGGTTAAAAAAATTATTTCCTGTAGCCTCTGATAGGGATTCGCATACTATCACTACTTGTCTCCGTTACTTTGTAGAAGTGGGGCGTTCTGTTATGCTCCATGTTGAGTGGGACTTGGGAAGGTCAAATGGGTGCATATAAGGAAAGTGATCAGTTATTTTAAAAATAGGTGAGATATAGGTTTCCACGGCGGCGATTTAGAAGACGACTGTCTTCAACGATGAGCGCCGTGTAGTAGTCTGGTAGAAGCTGATGTTTCAAAAGTACTTTCTGTGTCTATCAAAATCTGAGCGATGACTCATCGCCCTGATAACGGGAGTTGCAAGCACCTCTAAAACGTGAGATAATGTCTACCAGACTACATAGTGCAAAATCTTAATTAAGAAATATTTAGGATTTGATTTTTCTATAGTTTTCAAGGAAGTGGTTAGTTGAACCATGAGATTCGGTAACCACTGAAGCAGACGTCCACTTGAATCTACTGAGACTGCACAAATTTTCATGATAGTACCTATAAATATATGCATATTATTTTGATTGTTTTATATACTTGCATATTATTATGTAACGTTTTTGGTCTTACCTACGAAAACATTTCATATTTAATTTGATAACAAACACGTCAAAAATATTTCCATTTCTGACAGAAACCACATATTCTGACATCTCTCTTTTTGAGAATGGCTCCTAAATTTACTGGAAATTTGTGCGGACCTGCCTACACACAAGGTCCGCACCAGCCTGGAACAGCCAATGATGACGTTGGCGATACCCTTTCATGACTTTGGTAACTTTTCAGATTCTCGTGACAGCCACGCTTGTGGCCATTGGGTGGAGGGTTATAAGTGCAGGTGGTCACCACGGCGGCGGCGGCGGTGGCGGTGGCGGTCATGCACACTCCTTCGCACACTTCCATGGTCCAGTAGTTGGACCTGATCAGAAAGTCGTGGCAGTTGGTCATGGAGGCGGAGGACATGGAGGTGGTGGACACGGAGGCGGTGGACACGGAGGAGGTGGACACGGAGGCGGTGGACATGGTGGTGGTGGGGGTCACGTCGATTACGTGGTACTGAACCTCTTTAAGATATTACAATTTTGCTAAATGTTTTAACATGATTGATTGGAAATTTTGCAAAAAATTGTAGAATAGACAAAAATTCGAGCTCTTCCCTATGAACGAATCAACTGTCTTAGGTGGATCTAAAATAAGAACATATATATTTGTTTCATTGTAACATATTCTCGTTTTGTCTAAAGTTTAAGTGTAAATTATAAGAAAAATCCGAGCTTAGAACAATATAAGCTCACTACATTTTTACAAATTTATTGCTGTTAAAAGTGCTAAATGATAATAAGAACATCGGAACAATACCAATTGTTCTCAAGTACTGCTTAATTCCATTGGCACACATGTGAAATGGAGTGTTGTTAACACGCTATGAATGAATGTTTAGGGCAGAAGCTTATTAAAAATAAAATAAATAACTGCAACTCTTTCGAATTATCATTCTTCTTAATAGATCACTTCTTTAATCGCTCATTGCATCCATGTTTTCGTTAATTTGTAGAGATATACAAGCTTATGACCTCTAATGTCAAGGCTGAGAGTGAAAAATTAAACTTCAAATGATCGGTTGTTGTTTTGTTGTGACTCACGATTCCAGATGTTTAAAACCACAACTTCTGTCTTTGAGGTAGTGAACGACTGTATTAAAAGTTTTACAATAGCTTAATTTATCACCTATATATTTTTTTTGGTGGGAATTGGAAAATTAATAATAACAGGAGACAAGCATGACGGCGAATAATCTCATGAAGTTATGGAGATCAGTGTCTTTAAAATCGTAATTCAGGTAGTACATTTTGAACAGTATTTTGCTTTTTTAAAATAAGTGTTAAAATATATGTATATAAACAGTTTTTGACTTTAAATGGCAGGTTACAATGATATAATGACAGTAATGTAAATAAATAAGATCACAGTAAACAGCAACAATGATAACCGGAAATAACAAGAATACTTAACGGTAAATTGCTCTGTATCGTTAGACTGGGAAGGTGAACAAAAGTAAAAATTAATAATTGTAAAAATTTAGTCCTGTTACATTCGCTAATGGATATCTTTTCCTCAGGCACATCCCAAGTATGACTTTTCATATGGAGTTGTGGATCACAAAACCGGGGATTCACATGGTCAGAAGGAGTCACGTGATGGACACAAAGTGGTAGGAGAGTACACGGTCAAGGAACCTGGCGGCAACACGAGAACCGTCAAGTACTATTCAGACAAGCACGGCTTCCACGCTGATGTACATAATAGCAACGGAAACGATCATTCTGGAGGTGGACACGGAGGACATGGAGGCGGCGGTGGACACGGAGGACACGGAGGCGGTGGCGGTGGCGGACACGGAGGACATGGAGGTGGTGGTGGACACGGAGGACATGGAGGCGACGGTGGGCACGGAGGACACGGCAGCCATGGAAGCTATACTGATCACCATGATGATGGTTATTAAGGCAGCTGGAATTCATTGGAATCTCTTTCATCTGACTTTAGATAATATCACTGCAATATCTTAAAATAGAATTTGAGTATTAAAATAAAATGTGTATATTGACTAAAGAGAAAAGTTTAAATGAGTCTTTCATACTTACTACTTTATTGTAATTAATATTCGTGATTTTATACGTAATAATCTGTGATCATAAATCTATCAAGTGATACTAATGTTCAATGGTCGAGTTATTAATTATAATGCAAAATTTCTATGAATCAGAGTTCCCCTAACAAATAGCGGGAAAATCATTCTAATTTGATTTTTTCGCATGTTGTTTTACAATGATATACTCACTCGGAAAATGATGTGTTGACACATACAGAATACCTAATATCACCTTAACACTGAAAGCTGGTTAACAGATAGGCTAACAGTTTAATGGAGTGTCGAGTTAACAGACTTTCCTGTTGTGTTTTTATAATTAAGAATGTTCAATAAAATCAAGTCAAATTAAAAACAAAATTGTACGTATTTATTTAACATATTTAGTTAAGTCACTTAATTTACGAATAAATTTATCTGCATTTAATAGGCAAACCAGTGAGTACAATAACAGTTCGTGATGTACGATTATATAATTGTTGTAAATTTATCTACACCAACCGAAAAGACCAAGATTTTTGAGGACAACCTAAAAGCGCTAACAATGAAGCCGTAGTAAGCCACTGATCCAGCAGTAAGACTATTGACGATAATGTTCGAATTATTTTAGATGTGTTTGAAGAAAAACTGATAGAAAATGAGAATGAACAAAAGTTAGGTACTGCAATACTTTTCTTTCCTTATTTAATGGGAGGAGAGCTTTTGCTTCCATTTTTAAAAATTTGCTTGAGAAGGAATTATGCTGAATCTGTAGACAACGGAAAACTGTTGAGCAATTGGTGGAAGAGACAAAACGTTTTAAAGAAAAATACTTAATTTAAACACCGCATTTCCTAAATTTTAAGGCTCCATCGCCTAAAAGACACACCCTTAATTCAGTGATAGGTTTTAAGGAACAAATATGCTATGTTGATCATTATTAGCTACCAAATCTGCGACGAACCCGATTTTAGAAATTTTCAAATGTGGAAAAGTACGTCTTAAAATCGAGGAAATGCGGTATTTGGTGCTGTAAAATAACACAGTTTGTCATTTATTGTATGCCCTATACATTATAACACCTTTCTTACCCATGACCTAGGAACATATTTCTTTAGGAATAGGATCTCTGTATAAGCAGATTGTGATAAATCTTCTTCTTGGGCATTCAGCTCTTAAAGTTTAGCCAGTGCCTCCTTTATTGTGATAAATATATCAAATTTTAAATTTATTTCATAAACACTTTTAAAAACATAAACATTGCCTAAATTCAGACATTTTTAATTATAGTAACATTTAATAGTTGCTTTATTGGTTTTTTCGATTTTACCTGCAAAAGCTGTAATAAAATATTAATTTTAACGAATGCATTTTAATAATTAGTGACAACTCAGAGAAAATACAAAGATATTATTTCCAATATGATAAATACGACAGAACACAGAAGGACGAATCCAAGCCCATTATAAATAAATTTTATTCGTTGATACTAAGTCAGGATGACAGTTTCAGCAAAATATTTAAGCAAACACTGACTGTTTTGGGGGGGTTTAAAGAAACATAGCTATAATATGCGAAGGCGACATAAATATATCAACATTATATCCAGAAATAAATTAAGAATCGATTAATTAAGTTCGGGGAATGGTTGCTACCATATAGTTCAGAATAAATTGTCGTCACGTCTGTTGTCTGATATGAAAACATTAAAGTATGCCAAAACATAATCTAACCAGCTGTTTCGTGAAACTTGGTATATTATTATGAGAGGAAAACACATTGTGTTTGAGAACACGGTGATGTGGAGGACTGAAAATAGAATCAATATGCTCCTCAGAAACATTTTATCAGAGCGTTAGCACATGGAAGACCAACATCGATATATAATTAAGAAAGCTGTGGAGCTCAGAATGTAACCTACTGCATCCTGTTTTAATTAGTTCTGCTGGAATTTCATCAGTAGTTTGTTTGTGTTCTAATGGCTCAGCTTTATGTATTCCTCTCTGCCTAATGTCATTAACCTCAGTGATATTCAATTGGTGGCAGAGGTACAAGTATTTCTTCCACAGAAGATGACTGTCTTCTGGGTTGTAGCAACGTGTATTCTGATAAAAGTTTGCCAACGTCTCAGAGGTCCTTGCAGCCTCCATCATGAGGGCGGTAGCTCTACCAGACTACACGGTGTTGCAACCCAGAAGACAGCAATCTTCAAACACATCACCGTAAAAACCTCACTTAATTTTCTACCTTTCCAAAATACTGCGGGAATCTGTAAGCAGCTCTCCATTCCAATCTTTTATCAAATTAGTTCAAGATTGATAACCATTCTTAAATTAATTTGTGTCTGTAAGATTTGAGGTTTGTGTCTGTACAACCTCCAATATTTTTTTTCTGTTTGTTTTAAATTCATTAGTTTTATCTTTCAAATACTCCCTCCCCTTCTTTTGATCCTAAAATTTCTACCACTTTCACTATTTAAATAGTGCATTTTATTTATTTGCAACCGCTGAAATTTAGGTTTCTTCAATCTATACAATATTTCAAACATTATTAACCAAACTATGCTTCATGGGCCTTTAACTCTGGATGACGAATAATCTTTTTGGCTAGAACTTTCATATTCTCTGTAACATTTCCCCCAAGTAATATTAATGTCTACGTTAGCATCAAACTGTTTGTTAACCTGTTTTGATATTTTTGTGTGATACCGTTCCTAAGTAAAGTAAAGTAAAGTAAAGTTTGTCCCACTATACGCCATGTAGGCGTTTGGGGTGAGTGGAGGTATAGCTCCTCTCTTCCTTGACCTCGGCACTAGATGGGGGTGAGTGGTCAGCATCACGCCCCGGCCGGCTTTACCCCCGGGAAAGGACCCCGGTACCCATTGTAGAGGAGGCTGGGTGGGCCCCAGAGCCGGTCTGGACGCAGAGGCTAGAGGAAAAACCCTCTGCCCCCGTCGGGAATCGAACCCCGGTCGTCCAGCCCGTAGCTAGTCACTATACTGACTGAGCTGTCCCGGCTCATATTCAGTTTGTTATTACCTTTCTATATTTATTATTGCATTCGTGTGCTTATCTCTTGTGCTGTGTCTATAATTGTTCTTCTGGCTGTTGATACAGCACACTAATAATAAAGAATTTAATTATATAATTTGGAACAATTACGGTTCAGTGGCTTCCCTTTAAAGCAAAGATGAAACTTCGAATGCTGTAATAGAAGGGAATTCGTTCCCATCGCAAGGTGCGACCATAAATTGAAATGTGCATCAAATATAGACCTACAGTAAAGAAAATAGTACGTAAAACAAGATCCAAAAGGTTCATAAAATTAAGTTTCTTAAGTATGTTTTGGCAAGAAGACCTGACCAACATTTTATACGACTTTGTACACGTTATTTTATTTTTATTTAAAATCTCAGACTGTAGGGAGTCGAATTCTAGAATTACTAATACTTAATTAATAATAAAATGTGAAATAAATTGATGATGACTAATTTGAGGTGCTATGCCTCAGACAGGATAGCCGGTGTACGGACCTAGATTTGAGCTCATGATCTTTGTAGTTCGAAGTAGCTGGCTACTTGGACAGAACGGTAGGCGAGGCTTTGGTTTGCAATTGTTCTAAGAAAAGTTTCGATGTGTTATCCAGTTCTGTTCAAATTCTGGGATTTCGTTTCTTCCCCCACCCCACCCCACCCCCATTTGCTATTAGTACCTAAATGTATTTTTCGTGGTCAATATCTGACTCTCCTTTTAGCTGTTTGGAGTATTACAAACCATATCATTTGAAATTGAATTTATCCATGGAAAATATCTGCTATAAAACTGATTGCTTGTATGTGGCACCAGCGTAAACAGACCGGTGCAATAATATGTGAGATTTGAGATTCTCAAGGCGGTGAGGACTACGACGTTGTTCATATCAATTATGACGCCGTGTAGACTAGGTAGAGATCAACGTGGACAGACATACTGTCTCCATCCTTAGGGTATACACTTCTGAACAGTATGTTTCTCCGAGTCTTTGGTACGAATGACGTCACAATCCAGAAGAGCATTATCAGTTCAATGATAGTTAAATTCCATGTTGGTGCCAACAAAATGTATTTCTTCCGCTGTCCAGAAGGAGGGCTTTATGTGCCAAGTCCAAACAAAGAACCTGAAGGCAAGTCCTCGGGCTCACCAATCTCGGGAGACAGAGGATGTACATGTCCTGAATCCCTGCACGTAAGTTATGGGCCGATAAGTACATGCCTCAGAAATTGTTTGTAGGATTTGAGGTTTTCACGGCGGTGAGTCTGAAGATGCCTGTCTTGTGGGTAGTTGCACCTGATGATGGAGATATCAAGGACCCCTGAAACGTCGACAAACTTCTACCAGACTACACGGCGCAACAACCCAGAAGACAGCAATCTTCGTGAAATTATTTCACAAAGTTTGTCATCAACTTCTGGCTCATAGTATATGTCTTGAGTAAAATCGGCAAATCGAGCCCGTGGTACTTTTTAAGTTACAACACTGCTACCGCACAAGCACTATATCCTATATGAGCCTTGTCCTAAAGACTCTATCTACATAGGACAGTGCAACAAGGAAGAAAGGCGGACAAACATTCATAGCTTGAGCGGGATTCGAACCCACGATCTCAGAGTCGAAAGGCTAAAACCCACACCAAAATTTATGATAAATCAAACTAAAGCGTGAAGTTACGCATGCGTCACATTAATTTTATTTGTTGTTAATTTAAGAATGCTGCCAGGAACTAAGAATACAGGCATCGTTACGTTTTTATTTTTTAAATACAGATGAATGAAGATTTCAAAAAACACACATACGTTTAACTTATTTTTAATAGGTGAGATTTCAGGTTCTCATGGCAACGGGTGACTGTATCCTGAGTTGTTGCGCCTTGTAATCTGCTATAAGTTTGCACCATCAAGGCAACCGCCAGAGTACACGGTGACAGTATCCCAGATGACAGTAATTTTCCTCTGTAATAGTTACCGCAGGATAAGTCCATACCTAGTGCGACACAGACTTTTCTCCTCGCGACCATGGTCCGGCCTGCTGAAGGCCACACTACAGTGTGTGGTCGCCAATGACCACTTACTTATATGCCGAGTTTAAGAATGTATGGAGCCATACCTCCACTATCCTACACATCTTCGTGACGCTGGTTTCAGTTAAACATAGGGAGAACTTTCCGGAACACTTTTCATACGTAGGATTTGGTACCTGTCTCCAAATTGACACATGTAGCCTACGTTGTTTCCTGTATTAAAGCATCGAAACACCACATTATTGTTAATCTGTACAGTAGAAAGCTTAAAATGTGTAAAATGCGTTTTTTTGTTATTTACTGAATGAATTCGGTAGCAGACAAAGGCAATAAGAAAGAAACTGAGCGTAACGGCCAGTATGTTACTGTGTAGCGTAGCGTTTGCGGGGTGTAACCTAATTGTGTTTTTCACGGAATTCTGTCACGCTCTGTGACTCGTTCACTTTGGCAGCACAAGGCATGCACCTGTAACCGCCGTAAAAAGTGTCATACCTCACAGTCTCACATTTCTTCAGAGCAGTTGTTACGATATGTGAGTAAAAATATGCCTCTTAGTGGAATTCAACTGCCTATACGACGAAATGACAATGCAAAAATCCTATTATAACGTGCAAGTAATAGGGGAAATTCTTTTATAGATTTCTGCATCGTTTGTACCACGAGGTCCCAGATAATTTTCACTCTCATGACGTCAGTGATGTGGGCAATCAGTCAGTTTCTAAAACAGAATACGCAATGCAGTAAATTAGCCAATGCTCTTAAATAATTTTGGTATAAAAGGAACCTGTGGGGTGTGAAACGTCAACAGTTTTCCACTGAATACCACTTTGTGATCAAGTGTTCGCTCCGTTTCAACATGGCTCATGTTAAGGTAAAGTTGTTAACATAGGGTGATAAGCTGATACACTACAAAACGTAAGCATCATAGATCAGATCAGTCTTTCGTTGGGCGTCCCATTGTTCCGACGGTTAGACGCTGGCTTGGCACCGCGAAGAACCGGATTTTGTCCTGGGTGACTTTTAAGTAAGATTCGTGATGGACGAAGTAACATTGGTGCCGGGTCCTTCCCTTTCACCCTGCTAATCATCATTCCACCATTGTTCCATACTCATCTATCACCACCCTGCTAGATGTGCTACAGTCCTGACGAAGCAGAAATATATCACACCCTCAGTTCAATTCAATTCTGACCAGACACTTGGCTGGTCTCAGAGTAAGGTCAGTTTAGAGAAGTTTTTTGATGTTAGTGGTAATTTTGGTATGGCACAAACAATTTAATCATAAAGATTTCTGTCTTCTGGGTTGTTGCGCTGTGTAATATGGTAGATGTTTACCAACGTTTCGGAGGTCATACTGCCTCCGTCATCATGGCGATTCACTCCCTTAATAACTTCTAAATTAAAGTGTAAAGTACATTTATTTCTTAACTGATATTTAAGATCGCCTTATGAATACCGAATTTAGAGCTACAGATTTATATGCAGGGATAATCACTGAGGTTACAAAAATCCCAGGAGGGATGTGGTCGTTGTCTCAATGAAGACAACAGGTAACACGGTTAAGACTTGAAGCGGGGACCTCTTGTTTACAAGTCTAAAGAGATACCGTTACACTAACCTGCTCGGTGGTATATTTGATGTAACATAATTAATTTGTAAATAATTTTAATATTTTCGTCTAATCATCGGTGGTTATAGCAAGCTGATTATAGTATTATGTTTTAAACTCAAAATACACAAATTAAGATTTTTTTTACTTTTGAACATTGTGAAAGCAACTATTGTGAATGCCAGGTTAATAGGTTAAAAAATCCTTAAAGCGGCAAAATTCCTTTATTCTTCCTTTTTCAACGTCTTGAGATTATAATATTAAATACGCTACAAATTTTGAATATTACGTTCACCATCCTTAGAGTCAAATATTTTTTATTTACATCACCAGCTCTATTATTATTTCCTCGTTGTTATTTTATGGTTGTTTTACTTAAGTAGCTACGTATTGCTTTCTTAAATCTCCGACCGCGATCCTCCTGAAGTAGAGAACCATATTCTCCTCCGTGTGTGCTTGGGTTTGACAGTACATGATGGTTTAGTAAATTATTATTTATTTTCTCTTTATTTAAACGTTGTATGTTATGATTACTTTAACGACTCTGACAATAACACAACGTGCATGGTGTGAAATTATACGAGATTTTTAGTGAATAAGGAATAAAGAAGTAGTGTCATATTAAAAATAATATCCCTGCGTTTAAGAAAGAGACTGAAGAAAGCCTTGGCCAGGGTTTTAATCCACAATTTGTCGAATACAACGTAAAAGTTCTAACCACTAGGCAACGACGTTACGAATAGAAAATACTGTGAAACCACTCGCTTGGCTATTTTCTCAATTAAATGGTAAGGAGCTTTCGTACTATATCTGCTGGCAATGATTAGAAGTCTTGTAGTGATTACTAGGCTGATTCATGGAGCAAATTTCTTCTTGAGACCCTGTCACACAGGTAGTAAAGAAATTCCTTGTATTTTATGGAACCCAAAGATTCATTGTTGTATTTATAAAATTCCGTCACTGGTCCCAACTCTGAGCCGGTTGAATCTAATCGACATCCCCACATCCTGTTACTTGAAGACCCATTTAAATTACATCCTCCAATGTCTCTAAAATAGTCTTCTTTTCGGATTTTCAGGTTAAAAGTTTATTTGAACTTATCTTACCCATCTGTGCTACATTTTTGGCCCATGTCATTCCCCATTAATATCTAGTGAATAACACAATTGCATACTTCGGCCAAGTCCAAGTATCTTGAGCATCGTTTTCTCAAGTCACCCTCACAGAAAACGACGAGTTCATAGACACCGGAAATACTTGCAGGTGCTTGTAGCTGTTGCTGTGATTGCCACCGTGTGGCAATGTGCTAACGCTGGGGGGCATCATGGCGGCGGTGGTCATGGTTACGCCCACTCATTCGCCCACTTCCACGGCCCGGTTGTGGGACCTGCAGAACCTGTCCACGTCGGCCATGGCCACGGTCACGGACATGCCATCGACTATGTGGTAAGTACTGTTAGATACACGTGTAAAGAAGCATTCCACAGCCGCTGCCAGTAACACCTGCGTCTTTTATATCAGACAACATAGATAAAAACACCTGCTCATAATATTATACCCATAGTCCGACACTCTTGACTGCACAAGTGCGCCTTTTGTGCGATGCGGAAAAGAGTGAAATTAAGTTTTGGTGACGTCGACTCTGATGGCAAGATACGAGGGCTTCAGTCTCCGTGAAGACATTTCCACATTACTTTACTTCATACAGACGTTTTTTAAATTGTGTACTTTGAATGCTATTTGCAAAGATAATACCGCAACAAATTTTACTTCTTTCCAATACGAGAGATGTTCATTCCATAAACAAGTTATACTATGCTATTCTGAATATATGACAACAAAATTCACTAGTATTGACACACATAAACCGACTCTGGCAAGAGAGCGGTGTAATTTGTGTTTGGTTCAATCAAATATCCATAATACGTATGTAATATTCCAGTTGATAACTACATTTAAATAATTTTATTGAATGGGATAGTTTATATGGCATATTAATGTCATAATCTTATCCACTTTCAGTAACAACCATTATTTCATGGACACAGTAAACGGCTGGAAAGTGTATACGGATTATCTAAATGATGAATTATAAGTTTTTACTTCGCACAGTATGACATAAAACAGCGGTTTAGGAATAATGGGTACAAAATATATATTCTATATTAATATTCTGGAAACCATATGTTCACTATTACTCAAATACAATATATTAAAAACTTCACGGGCCAAAGTCCTTCCTCAGCTAGTCAAGACATTCTCCACCTTTGCGGAATCACAAAATGCATTACAGTGTACATAAAACCCACAATCTTTTCCTGTCCAGAGACAGACGAAATCAGCCAACATCTTTATACCCTATTTCTTTAAGATCCACTTTAATATTATTATCCCCAAGTAGTATCAACCTTTCAGATTTTCTGACTAAATTGTTGCATGCATTTTTCATCTCTCAGATGCTACATAACCTACCTACATCATGGTCCTTGATCTGATCACCCGAATGATATTTGGTGAAAAGTACAACTTCGTAAGTTCATTAAGCAATTTTCTCCATTCTCCTGTCACTTTAATCAATATTAGGTCCAAAACTTCTCATCAGAACCCTGTTCTCAAACACTCAAAATCTGTTTATTTCTTTAGGCTAAGAGCCAAAGTTTAACATCGGAAAATAGGTCGCAAGGAGGGAAACTAATTAAAATTATATGCTTCCAACAAGAGCAGGATCGATGGAGCAGGTGTCTGTGTGCGCAAGGGTCCTACTTTGAAGGTCATTAGGTAAGCGTTGCCATATGTCCTACCATTACAGCGTTATACCACAAATCCGGGAACTTTTTGACTGCCCCTCGTATTGTAATATACAAATAATCCTCCTGTGAGATGGAGGTGGAATGACGCTGAAAAATGGTTATTAAAGATATGATCTTGCTGTTTTCGTTGCAAATATTATCCCTCAAGTTCTTAAGAAGGGTTTGAAGTTACCACGGCGGTGAGTACGCAGATGGCTGTCTTCTGGTTTGTAGCGCCGTTTGGTCTGGTAGACGTTTGCCAATAAACTAGACAGCCAAGTTCTTAAGTTTCGTGCTATGACGTGTGTAACGGGGACTTTCTTTCAGGCTTATCCCAAGTACGATTATTCGTACGGGGTGTCAGACCATAAGACTGGAGATTCGCACGGCCAGAAGGAGTCCCGTGACGGTCACAAGGTGACAGGCGAGTACTCCCTGAAGGAACCAGGCGGTAACGTGAGGACCGTCAAGTATCACGCCGACAAGGACGGCTTCCACGCTCACGTGATAAACAGCAACGGAAACGACCACTCTGGAGCTCACCATGGCCATGGTTATTAACAACACAGGGTAGCAACTGCACACCACAAGGCATACTCTGCATCCGCCAATGCTCACTCAGATTTCTTACAAATGCTGTCCCTTGTTTGTTCTTGTCATGACGTCTTTGTATCTTACGGCGTACCATCCCGTTATGAACGTGTACAACAGTCAATACAATGTATTATATATCCCATCTATTTATCTACTTTCATATAATTTGATCTTTCAGCGACACGTTTCCCAGTAGGCTACGTAATATAAAACATGCATTAAGATTTGTTACTTTAATCAATGGCTCCTTTAAAGAGCTGTTGTAATACCGTCGTTTTTAATTTATCTCAAGAGTTGTAAGAATGAAAGATCACTTAATGTTTAGTACTGACAGCTACGTCGTTTTAAGGCAACATTTTTCTTGTAGCTCTTGTACTGTGTTATAATATATTTGAACATATAATGTACTTAAAACACTCAAACGATAGCTTTATTGTAAACGGATATTGTTGGTTCCTATTGTTATTAATAACATTTATGCATATGTTGACTGTTTTGCAAAGCTTTTACATTTCTATTCTAATTTTTAAAGTTTGTATGTGTTATTGTTCTGAATGTTAATAAAATTTACTCGTTACAGTAACCACTGAAAAGTCCCACTTTAATTTATCAGCCTTCCGCCTTATTTTCATGTCCTAAATAGACGCTGACAGCCAATAGGTGGCTGATTGGGCGTGGTATTAAAACCACTCACTACAAATCAAATGTTATATTACTAAAACAACTGAAACGAAATCAGACGGTGAATGTGCATACACACAAATTAGCTCTGCTTATGTGATGATTCTCTTAAAAAGGTTGAGATGTTTTGTTCAAAAACTTTTTGTGTATGTGTGATTTAACTATTTTATTATCATTTATACGATGCAATAATTGCATATGGAACGACGCATGTATATTGAAAATCATAATTAACGTTATCAGGATTTTGTACCTTTCTAATTTATCAAAATAAATTAATATTTAATACGTAATTATTTTCCTCAGCAGAAGAAAACCGAGCAAACGAACGAACCAAAAGAGTCTCGTTTTATTGAAGATACTAATGTACAGTTGCAAATATTTTCGATAAACCCTGGCATCAATAAATTATTTTCCTCATATTTAATTTAACAGCCAACATGCAGACAGACCTTTCCATTGTATGCTGCTTTTATTTTATGCTTGTATTTGGGAACTTAGCTCAGGTGAACATGTACTTGTTCGTTAGCGAACTTTTAGTGGAGGAGAATAAGCTAAACTCCAGGGAGGAGGTTTGGATAGTGGCTTCAGGTAAATGCCCCACGTTGCATTGCAGAAATATTATTTTCGTTAGACAATAACACAGTATTTTTATTTTGGTAGTAAACGGCCACTTTGCCGAATCGAAGAGCAACAACAATTTTTTATGTTTCCTCGCCAGAATCCAAGACTAAAGTGCCCTTGGTATCCCCAGGGTCGCCGGACTTGCCTTTCTTTAATTTTGAAGGTTCCTTCTTTAAAAAAAATGTAAGCAAATGGTCTGGTGGGCCTTATCAGCTCTAATCTACGTGATTTTTCAGAACACTTGCTTGAAAATCATTAATTCTAGCCTCTATTGTACCAACAATTGTACAGGACACGGTACTTGCTTTAAATTACTAATTTCAGCTTGCCGGTGGCATTTCAAAGATTGCGGCCGGCACCCTGGCGCCATACTTCCTACTTTTAGTCTTTCACAAAGAGTCCCTTATTAAATTACAGTTTGCCTCCACACCTTGGCATCTCGCCGGGACTCGAACCCAGAAACGCGCGGTCACAATATGTGTGTGTGTGTGTGTGTGTTGTGTGTGTCTATCTGATATTTTATTTACTTAGGCTACTTATTCCGTGGAGCCGAGTCCTTCCTGAGAATCCAAAAGTCGGTCAGCCACTCAAGAAGTTCTCAACATTTTATGAAACTCGAAGGTTCATTACCGCGTTCCACTGGTACCTATCCTGAGCCTGATTAATTCCGTCCATACCATTGGGTTTGACCCGTGACTTAAACAAACAAACATCGAGACGAGAGTGTGGAAGGACGGTTGCAGTACAGTGACAACCCTGTCCCGTCTCACCTCGTGTGCTCCCACTAAATCTAATCTTGCTAATTCTCTAAACCTGCCCTATACAGACTCCTCGCTTTCCAAATGCCAAATCTAACATCAATTTTCCTTCGCTTAGATCGTTCCAAAGAATCTGTCTCAGTCAATGTGTAACATTTCGTAACAAGTTGTTATTTTTACGTTGAGTTGTTAGTACCGCGCCCAATCCCCAAGATTGAGGCTCACCACCCTTTGTCGGCTATCCGCGATTGCTTATTAAGTATATTCACAGCTGTCCTCCACATCTGAAGGCCTTCTCCATTCGCACCCTGAAGACACGCTATACCCTCTTGACAAGGGACCCTCAATAAATGGTTTATCTGACGTCTAAATTTTTAAATTTCTAAATGCCCTATTCAATTAACGTTAACATGAGACATAGAGAACAAAAATGTGTAATGACAAAACATGAGCATTTTATGCTCATCGTCTAATCAGGGCCAGCGTGTGACTAGAATACAGATTGAGATCAGAATGTTGAGGAGAATATTTGGAGACGAGAGGCTGAAGTAAATCATATCTGAAAGACACGTACATGAGAGACACAAGATTAATACAAAATATTCCACAGGTTCTACTCCGTGGAGTTAGTTGTCAAAATGAGTATGTTAAAAACACATAGTATTTCTGCACGGTAGGTATATTTTGTAGGCGTGGAGCTACCTTATCTCAGAGCATAAAACTCTGAAGGAAAATGCAACAGCGTGACTTTTAAAGCGTTTTACTTTTGCTGAAACCGAAGACCTGATTGAAAAACTCTTGTGCACATTTAAGAAGCGATGAAACACAAAATAACACTGGATAAAAGATGGCTGTAGATACCGTAACTTAGCCATTACATGACAACAAAACTACAACCCAACCGTTTCATTTCTCCGCAGACTTATGAATGGAACGTCATAATACTGGACAGAAAGAAGTTCAAACCTGTTACGATATCTCTATACAATTTCGTTCCACGCGAGAGCTTGTAGGCCACTTCCAGACAAACCGGTTGTATTCCAGCGGTGAGCATGCGTACAATATTTCTTTCCGGGTACGTGTCAGATTCCTATATCACTCACAGATGTACCGTCAGGATTTTTACTAATGTGAACGAACACATGAATCAGTAACGACAGGCACTTGCTTCATAAACCTTAAACTGTTACACGGCAATAACCCATTAAAAATAAATATACGATGATTAACCGCCACGGTGGTATAGCGGTTAGAACGCTGGCCTTGTAATCATGGGGTCTCGGGTTCCCGGCGGTGCCCGAATTTATAACTTGTGTTGGGCAAGGCCGTTGTCTAGGCAACACGGAGTTTTCCTCCGGGGGCTTCCCCGGTTTCTCGTGCTTTCGGCCGTCATAACTCGACTGCTTGTAAACCAGGTGAAACTGTAGCCACGGCTCGAAATGGGCGGCTGCAGTGTGTGTGTGTGTGTGTGTGTGTGTGTTGGGATCGTGCGCACGCGCATTAGTTGGAGCGAACCGATTAGTACGGCCCTTTGCTTGCGGCTGAGTAATGCTTCAGCGTTACGCTGGTATGCCGGAATAAACTTAATGTTAGCCAGAAGTGACGGCTTGACTCCTCCAAGAACTCCGATTATGAGGACTACTAATTTGACAGTAAATCCGGGATACAGCTGTCTTAGGTCAAACACAAGGTCTTGATACTTGGTCCGTTTTCCAGTCTCCTTTACAGCTATGTTTGTTTCAACTGGGGCCGAAAACTTAATGACATACATAGTGCGTTCAGAGACACCGATGAGAATGATATCAGGCTTGGTAGCTGTTAACTGCCTGGTAGTGGGGAACAAATAGACCCAATAAATTTTACACTTATCGTGGCGTACGGCATGCCGTAAAAGTGCCTCAGGTGATAATAGAGTATACGTAAAGCAGCATTATGCCGATGAATGTAGGTGCAGCTGGCATAGTGTTTACATACCGACAGAAGATTCATCAGTGTCTCTGGTTGCATTCGGCAAGCCCTGCAGACAGTATCCGCTACTCCCACACCCACGCTAAGGTGAAACTCTTGGTTTCAAACTTCAGTCCAGCCGAACGTAGAAAGGCGAACGTCAGGTCTTACGACAAGCCCATTAAGTTTGACGTTGTCAAAGAAAGTCTCATGATGCATGATGCCTGAGTAACAAAGTTTGCTCAGCCTTCTTAACAGAGCCCTTGAATTGATCTGCCTTCGCCGTCTAGCTAAACTGATGTCAAAGTCAAGTCCGAGGTCATTTGCTGCTCTCTTTGCTCCCCTACACCCACAGACTCATGCGAACATACGAATGTCAAGAGGGGATCAGAGCTATTTATGATAGAATGAGCTGTACTATCCTGTTGTGAAAACTTTCCAGACCCAAGAGACCTCTACCTCAAAGATGACGTGGGAGGTATATGCGTTCGACAGTGGATTTGGGATGAAGACTTCGGTGCATGGCCATTATTTTTCTGGTGGCCCTTTTCAGATTTTTCAACTCATGAACTGTATATTTTATTACTCCAAAAGTATAGAGCAGGATCGGAACAGCAAGCATGTTGGTGGCAGTGACTTTGTTTCTACCAGAGAGCTCGGAACTCCAAATCTGTCGTAGGGTGTGTCTATACTTGCTGCACAGAGCCTCTTTGACCTTGGAGACATCTTGGACGTGACTCTCACTCACACCAAGATATGTATAGGACTCTTCGGCATCAAGATGGTGTATGATGCTTCCGTCCACGAGTTGCACGTCTTCGCCGAAATCCCTATTTCTTCCCCTTTTCAAATGCAGAACTGCACACTTGTCCAATCCAAATTCCATGCCGATATCCTGAGTGTATACTTGCACGGTGTTCAGTGCACTTTGAATGCCACTGTCGCTGGCGGCATAAAGCTTCATATCATCTATATAAAAAAGTGGATGACTTTGTGCCTGCGGTTTGAAGGTACACCACGCATGTATCCGCGCTCACGTGTTAGCACAACGGAAAGAAGTAGTAGCGAGACGCAGAAAAGAAGAGGACTTAAGCTGTCACCTCGAAATACACCGCGGTGGTAGCATACCAACTCTGTCGACACTACACGCTTCCCAGATGTCAAAATGAAGCGCGTTTTCCGGGGCGGTATCAGGTTTTCGATGCATCGCACTATGTCAGGTTGGACTTTCAGCACTTTGAGCAAGAAGAGAATCAGTTCATGAGAAGTTGTGTCAAAAGCTTTTTTGTAGTCCACCCAGGCCATCGACAGGTTGCGCTTATAATGGACTGCATCTTGACAGATGCATCTGTCAATCAACAGATTGTCCTTGTAACCTGCAATGCCACATTTTGAACACCGCTGCTCGTATACCTCTTTCCAGATGGGGTCGATGTAGTGCAGTATGCGTTCGTTCAAGATGGAGGTGAACGCCTTGTATACAGTATTAAGATAGGTAATTGTTTGGATTAGACAAATATCCTTTCTTTTGGATGAGAACAGTGCGCCCTTCTGTCAACCAAGGTGAAATGGGGTCTGTACCA